GATCGAACAGTCGCGATCCGCCGCCCCTTGGTCAACAAAAAGTCAAGACCCTCCAGCGATGACCAGGAAGACAAAAGCGGGGAGAAATTACCCATAGAGGCCCCATGTACTGAAATTTCGGACACGGACATTGAAGTCCAAATTTATGTAAGCTGGATCCGATCCCAGGTGAGAAACGACAAAAACAGACCCTAAATAATAAAGACATTAACATCAGCGCACGCCATCCAACACCCATCTCGGATCGACGGCGAGGATCGCAGATCCGACAAGCCCAGCACCACCACCAAGATCTGGCACATTGAAAAATCAGGCCAAGATTCCCCACCACCCACATGTCTCGAAATGATTAAAAAACAACAAACGAAGGAAAAGCACAGAACACCCCCCCCCCCCCCCCGGAAAAGTCAAGCGTGTTGACTGTTGAAGGAAGGGAGGAGGGAGGTGCGTGGGGACAAGGAGCGAGAAGAGTTCACCAGAGAGAGAGAGAGAGAGAGAGAGAGAGAGAGAGCAACAGCATTATGCCTCCCTTAGTCCAAGGAAGCAAGCGGGCAATGGGAGAAAAACCGCGTACGATATGCTACAGCATTTACGGTGATCAAACAAAAGAGAGGAACAGTAACAATCACCGACGGATGTTCCCTCTTCGTCACTGTCGTGCATTTCGATTAAACAAACGCCAAAGTCAAAAGAGAAAAATGAACCCTCCCCCTCTAGAAGCCAAAGAGCTTTCCCCTAAAGCTTTAAGGCTTTGATGTCGCCATCCAAGCGACGTTGCTGCAAGCGTGTCGTATTGATAAATGCTCAATAACCGGTGCATCTATCTACCAGTCCAATTAAGCCCCCCACCCCCCACCCCCCACCACCAACTGCTGACCATAAATCACAACCTTTGCAATGAAGGCACCATCCCCCTTCAGCAGCAAATTTAATTGCTTAAACCCAGAAAAGAAAAACCCGAGAAAGACAATGAATGTGGCGGCAGTATTCGACAAGCCAACAAGTGCCCTCCGAGCACTTGTTAAACACGCTCGATACAGAAATAAAAATAAATTCTTTTCCTGGTCTTAAACAGTGCACTTATTAATAAAATTTGTAAATGGAACGAGAAAACGAGAATGCACCAACCTAGACCCTTCAGGAGATACCTTGCTCTTTTAGTTGTAGCTAGAGAGACTCACCAACAAACCACTCCATTAGTCAAAACACCTGATGCAAGACACCCCAACCTATCTGAAAGCATTGCTATGACCAGTCCCATGAACCACTCGAGTTACCTCGGAAGGGCAAAAGCATCAAAGAGAAGAGACAGAGAACCGAAATCAGGAATAACTTTAGGAAGAAGATTAACCAACCGCAGAAGGAAAGCACCAGGCAACAAAAAGCTTCGGAGTGGCCCTTTTCACCTTTTGCACTCAACTTTTGGCTTTTCTCTTCTCAAATTCCCATTACACCATTTTTCTTGCTCACCTCTCACATCTTGAATGAGTAGAGAGTACAAGGAGGATTCTTCTTCCCCATAGGATATGTACAAAAGAGGGAGGTAATTTACCTCTATAAAGCCTAATTACAATACTGGCATATCGTTGCCGTTGTCGTGATAAATTTTTCTTGCACTCTCTAAACTCTAATAGAAGTACCTGCTCGGACATCTTAAATCCGATAATCTACATTTTCGTCTCTTCAATGCAAGAAACTCGAGTTGGAGCACACAGGTTTTCTTGGTCGTGGGCATGTTGACGCCGCTTCAACCATTTTCCCGATACATTGTCTCCAACATCATCCTCGCAACCTTTGGGCACAAAATTTCTTCCCGTGTAACTTTGTCAACCTGCTTAAGACATTTAGGTGGGTATTTACTTTAAAATGCAACAGAAGGACCATACCCTAAGGAAATGCGTACCAGAAGTGAGAACATCGAACAGAATAGCATGATTTATGTGCTTCCAGAAATGCCATTATGAAGAATTAAACAGCATTGGTAGCATCATCCTAAGACATAGTGCTAAAACATCTTTGGTATCTACGGGTCTATTATGGTGGCATATTACCCCCAAAAGCTACCATCCACACCGAATCATCATTCAATTTGAATAGTATGGTTTAACACCAAACTCTTGCCTTCTTCTAACTTAAATATGGTCTCTGTTTGCCTAAATGTTGCTGTTAAATTGCGAGCGCACATTTTTATTTTCAACCCATTCGTCAAAATTTTCGGAATGCATTTCTCCTGCAGATGCTTTTCTTGCTTGAATGCAACATCAGTTGCCCATACAAGAAGGCCTGCATATACAGTTTACACCTTTGGAGAAGAGGAAAGAGAAACTGCAGAAAGCTTCCACAGGGAATTATCAAATAAGGGAAAAGATTGATCTACCAAAATCTATCCCCATGACAGCTGTTAGGCCCTGTCTCGACTTTAAGGGCATGCTCTTGATTACTAGCTACTAGTTTTGCAAATAATGCACCATCATAAATGATTTACCTACGGTGATGGCACTGCACATTCTTTGAATTGGACAACTACTTGCAAAAAGATGCATTTAAGTAATGATGCCGAAGGAAAAGAGATCCCCCCAGCTAAGAGAAAGGGAAGAGATCATCCAATAAATTCAGAAAAAGAGGATCATCCGGTCTAACATTATGCCAGACAGCTTCTAATCAGACAAATCCTGCCCAAAACGCAAACAACCAACAAATGCCGATTGACCAGGCCAAGAATTTGTCAAACGATCCAAACTTTCCAGGGTTAGCTCAAACCACCCATCAACTATTTAAGAAAAAATCACCAACAACCGAGTCACCGACAAGACCCGCTGAGTTGAGCCCAACCCCGCCAAACCCCCCGACTCGACTCGACTCAACTCGCAAACTCAGTGAAGACATCGATCAGAAAAAAGAGGACAAAAAAGTTGGAAACTTGGATCGGTTTAACTCACTCACCTGAGCAGCAAAAGAGATCGATCAGTCGCGGAAAATGGCCTTGTCGGCGATGCTCATCAGCGGCTCCAAGCAATCCGGCGAGAACTTCCTCGCGAAAAGGTACGAGTCCGAGTAATTCGACGCCCGGAGCCGGTGGATCAGGTCAGGGGAGACCTCCGGGGGCTGGTACGTGTGAGGGTGCCCATTGACCGTGCCCGTCCAATTGACCCGGGTCAGCGAGTAATGCGTGCAACCGCCCGGGTCCTCCATGGACAGGAGGGTCGGGAAGTAATGCTCCTCGGGATAGCACGCGTCCTCCCGGTAGCAGGGCAACCGGAACTTCCGCCAGAGCTTGCGGTCCCTCACGACGGCCCGGGCGTGGCGGCGGGTGAGGACGAAGAACTGGGATCCGACCCGGAACCGATCGTACGGGACCTCGGGGAGCATCGCATTCCGCCCCCGGGCCGTGTACCGCTTCCAGAGGCTCTTCGACTGGGAGAGGATCTCGATGTAGCTGCGGAAGCGGAGGCGGACGCCGTGGCTGCGGGCGGCATCGGGGTCGGTGAGGTCGAAGCGCGGGGACTCGAAGAGGGAGCGGTAGACGTAGGCGAGGGAGTGGAGGGGGACGCAGTACTGGGAGAGGAGGGCGAAGTAGGTGTTGGCCGGGTCGTCGAGGATGGCGGTGGCGAGGAGGCGGCGGGTGGCGGAGATGAGGGTCGGGGAGGCGCGGGCTGTGCGCTTGGCGGCGATGAAGCGGCCGGCGAAGACGCCGTCGGAGGGGGCGGAGACGTTGGAGAAGGGGTCGGCGTGGACGTAGACGTTGAAGAGGCGGCGGTGGCGGGGGGAGGCGGAGAAGAAGCGCTGCCAGAGCGGGGAGAAGTAGAGGGGGGAGTTGGTGAGGAAGAGGAAGGCGATCTTGGGGCGGCGGGAGGAGGAGGAGAGGCGGGAGGGGGAGGACGGGGAGGAGGCGCGGCGGAGGAGGGCGAGGTCGTCGAGCTCGTCGGAGGGGGAGATGGGGAGGGACCGGGGCGGGACAGGGCGGAGGAGGCGGGGGCCGAGGAAGAGGAGGAGGGAGAGGGAGAGGAGGAGGGTGAGGGAGAGAATGTAGGGAGATCTGTACATTTAGGAGATTCTTCCGGATCAATGACGACGGCGCAATTGCAGCGGGGGACCGATGATCAGGATCGGAGGAGGAGGAGGGGGAGGAGACCCGAGATTGGCGGTGGTGGTGGTGGGGGGTTGTTAGGGTTCTTCTTCTGGTTTGGATTTGGTGGGAGGGCATAGGGTATTAAAGATAGAAAGAGAGAGAGAGAGAGAGAGAGAGAGAGAGGGGTTTCTGGTGGTGAAGATGGAGGAGGAGATGGAGATGGTGAGACGGAGGGAAGGAAGGGAGGAAGGAAGGAGGGGAGTGATGGCGATGGAGGAAGTTGGGTGGTGGGGGATGGGAGGGAGGGGGCCCTTCCTGCCTTCCTCTTCTCTCTCTCTCTCTCTCTCTCTCTCTGTGTGACGGCGTCACGGGGGGTGTGGTTGGTGTTTTCTCTTCTACTTTTTATTCCACCACTTTTTCTTTCTTTTCTTAGACTCCTTTTGTTTTTTTTTATTGTCCCGGCGATCAACCAAAAACTAAGGCGCACGACCGTTTGTACAAAAAAAAAAAAAACACACAACAACGGGGGCTGAATTTGTTAATCGCTCTTTGATTATGATTCCCGGGGTTTTCCGGGATGAATGCGAATTGCGTTTTGCGAGGAGATGTCGCGGCATTATAAAATTTTGACTGCGTTGGGTTCGGTCGTGTCGGGGGGATTGAGGGGAAACTGTCGCTGACAGATTGCACAGAGCGAGATCTGTACCGTGTGAGTGTGTGTGCCAGGGGTGGGGGAAAGGGCAAGTGGGGGTGTGGTTGTCCCGTTGCGCTGCCTGTCCCGCTCGCCGCAGCTTCAGACTCACGTAAACCCCGTAAAGGAATCCGAAGATAAGGTCCCCCTCTTCATCATGAATGAACCAACAATCCAAGCCAACACAATCACCCCCAACACACAAAAAAAAAAAAAAAACACACACACACAAATAATATATATCAGAAGAAAAAGTCAAATCGTTTGTTTTTCAGGAAAGATAGATGGTCTAGGAATTGTAACACCACGGGGAACCACGGAGAGAGCACAAAACAGAAAGTTACGACTCTAGGAATCATAATACCCCTTCGACAACCAAAGACCAGAATACAGTAACTATGTCCTCGACGACGGCAAGGATCAAATTGCTTCGGAGGATATACATATACACGGGTGAGCAAAAACCCAAGCTGGAAAGTAAAAACGGGAGATGCGGTCACCACGGGTGCGAGAAGGAGAGCTGCGGACGCGATGCTTGTTGATGCCAACAAGCCGAAGCAATCTCTTCCGCTCTGCCATTTTTGGAAAAAAAACCTTGACAAGTGGTGGGAGAGGGGTCTGCGTGCACTTGAAGCAATTGCTTGCGTCTACTGCAATTCGTGCATTATGTACGGAGCCTTAAAACAGAATGAGATTGGCCCTTTTGTTCTTCATAATTCAAGAGGTTACCGATCAGCTTTCCTCAGATCAGCTTTCCTCAGAAACGCATCTTGCGGGCGGACCCGATTTTCTCGATGCAGCAGTTCTACCGGGGTTCTTAGCAGCTGGTGCCCCGACAGTCGACCCTGATAAAATCAATTCAACTGAAAGATGAGCTTAATTCCCAATGATGTACTGCGATTACAGGAATACGAGGCTATAAGCAAGTCCGGCTACCGGGCATCGTTAGACATACGGACACAGCATTATAAGTAGAAGATGTGCATTGCAAGTCTGGTGCATATAAGCGGAAATTTTTATAACAAAGGCAGCAGTTATTCAATGCAATTAATACATCCCTCTGTTCGCATAAACGCATCTGCATGTGGATCTGTAATAGAGAGAGGGAGGGAGGGAGAGAGAGAGTTTACCAGAATTAGGCAGAGAGAATCGCTTCTTTGCCCGTTTATCAGATTGAACTGATCTCTCTTTAGGGTTACTTTGCGATCTCGAACTCCGACCAGACCCGGCTTGGGTCGCTTGAATTACATCATTGACAAGCTTTGACTCTGGCTTGGAAGGGACTGCCTGATCAGAGGGCACGGTATTTAATGATTTATTAGGTGAAGAGCCAACATCATTAGTCTGAGAAGGCCCTGTTTTCTGATTACAAAGATTTGTCGAACCCGGTTTCTTGCTGGCAGACTTCGACTGGGCTCTAGTGTCGTCTGCACACTGCGCGGAGCCACTTTCTTGAATCGTCACTCCATCACCGATATTACTGTCGAGAAATCGGTTCTCCCATGGACGAACTGCCATCCATCTCTCCAACCAGGTCCATCCCCAGCTGCTTTTGTCTGGTTCAAACCCTGTAGGTGCAGCCTGCTGTTTTGATACTGCTTGCCACTGCATGAAAAAAAACAGAAGGCCAGTGTGAAGTAAAAACAAGAGAGAGATTGTAATTGCCACTGCATAGTACTATAAGCGAGAGTTTTAGGCCCATGAAACTCAATGCTAGATTGAGATTGTAATTTTGATTCTGGTAAAGGTCTCAGGCTCTAACCATGCAACAAATGACACACAACATAAGTTGAGAAAAGATGGTAATCGCGCATAGAGTCCACTTCCCTAAGCACATATTATAAAATTTTCTTAGTTTACAGTAAATTGTCAGTAGGAAAATGTGTATTCATGTATTCATGCACCTCGGGGATTATGTTCATTTCACATATAGCATGCAACTTAGTGATGTGAACATACATTCTACAGCATACACGACCCTGGTGCATTTCATTGTTTGATGATGCAAATATTAAGCTAATCTGAGAAGATGCATCGTGTACCACATTCGTGTAAGACTAAATGATACCACAAATTTTTGTATCGAAATTTGAAACTGCTATAAACTATAAAGAACACATCCATTTCGGTTGAGGGCCGAACTGTATAATATTGAATTTAATTGGGCTCTTAGGTCATAATTCTGGCATAGAAACATGGAGAAAATATGCAGTATCTCCTACTTCGATTATTTGTCTTAAATTAACCTTTTTTGCAGCCTAAGATGCAGATAGCTTCCAATCAAACTGAGTTTAAAATCTGATATCACCAGAAAAGACGGAGGAAAAGCATAGGTCACAGACACAATTCCATGGTAATATCAAATATAACTTACCTGATGAGCTAAAGCATAAGCCATGGCTCTTTCACGCTTAGCTGCAGCCTCCTGTCTCTTCGTTAACTTGGCTTGAATTTCTTCTACAGATCCTACGCGGTCACACCAACCTTCCTGCTCAGACGCGAGAAATGAAAACACTCGATAAACCAAGTGCGTGGCCATGTAAATAGTTATTCCTATGTCCATGTGACAGAATTTATTCATCATTTGATAATTTAGCACTGAAACCATAATTAGAGGCATTGTGTTCTCAAACAAGATAGCAACACCAGTGAAGATGAGGAAACAAAATTAACACGAAGCACCTTAAACATTTCATAATTTTATAGATTATGTCTTTCATTATCATTGTTAGGAGGGAAAGCCATAAAGTAGAAGTTTAATGTTTCGTCCCTCCCAAACAATTTCAACCATAATTGATACTGTCCAGGACCTACACCCAGTGGCATGCATTCAACATGTGGTGAGTACGACTGACTCCTTAAGACAGCAAATAAAGTGAAATTATCGGAACTATCTAACGAAAATCTGATAAGTTATCTCCCATCTTTACTGTATAGTTACATTAAACAAACTTAAGAAATTGTAATACTGAACGATATCCTTTGCTGCATATGTGGTCCCACTGTGCTTAAGTATGATGTTCTTTAACCGTTATAATTTCTAAATGGATTAACACCAGAACTAGACCTTGAAGATGCAGCTTCGTACTTCTGACATTGCATTGGTGATTCAATTGTATCATTGATATACATAAAACAAATGAAGTTCCTCGTCTATGACTAATGAGGTGGAAGAAAATGAAGACCCTCTATTACGAGAATTGCAATAAAAGCAGCGTACTTCAATCTGCCGAACTTGAGCCTCCTTTGCAATTTGTTGCTTAAGTTTCTGTTCTGCTGTTTGACTTTCCAATTCTAGTCTCACACGCCTCGCCCGTACACGGGCTTGAACTCTTACTAAAGCTTGCATGCAACGCAGTGTCATTGCAGCTTGCTTTCTCACAGCATGACCTCTAACAAGGGCCTGAAGCCTCACCAACCCTTTCAAAGCACTTAAAGCTCTTCTTGCCTGGTGCAGAAGCCACAAAACTGATCAATGAGACTGAGTTGCATGAGATACAACCTTAACCCGACCAATAACTTCAGTTCATTAAAGGCTCTTAATAAAACATCTCTTTGACAGCCATTTTTACAAGTTTCCATTGACATCCTAACCGATTAAATTGGCTTGTCGCCAAGTTTCGTAGAAATAAAGTGATGTGACTGACTAGGGGATTCTGCATTAGCAGCTGGTGATCATAAAGAAAAAGCTTATGGTACAAGAGAGATTTGTAAGTAGAGGTACTTTCATATATTCTGTCAGATTCCAGATAATACCATTTTATGCTGTTTCAAAAGACTGTAAGAGAAATGCCCTTAAGAATTTTGACTCAGATACTCAATACATTTACTGTTGAAAGTAATTGTCATGTTGCGAAGTCCATTTCATCTTTAGTGTTGTTTCATGTATGCTCATGTAGCTCAATAAGTTAAACCCATGACATACTTATCCTGCACACAATTGCCGACCGCTTATGAGACAAATCCATAATATGCTCTCAATTCACAGTTTCCCATGATCATTCCACGTGAACTTTCATTCACTTGAAATGCCTGGACCAGAAATGCCTCGACATATCCATAACTATTCCTTGGCTGTCAATTAGTATATGAGAAGTGGGAAAATGAAATTGATAAAATAATTGAGCAGACCAAAAGAGCTTCAGTAACTTCTTAAAAAGACTTCTTTTGACCTGACCGAACATGCTGTCAATCTTGAGAACTACTAAAAACTTCTACTCAAGAGACTCTCATCAGGTCAATAAAACACTGAAGATCATATCTACATCGAACTGGCTGCAAAAATCAATACCAGGAAACCCCGGAAAGCTGTTTGGATGCGCATTGCGGCCAACTCTTCTCTTAGAATTTGCTGGTGATGATCGGATTTCTGTACTTGAAAGCAGGTGGAAGGGCTACAAGCAGCATCAGAGATGAAATGTTCGTTTGTGTCCACAACATGAGAAGCATAATTGCAATTAAGCTGGTCTTGGATGTTTTCAGTCTCCGTACCAACTGAACAGTTAGCAGAGTGCAGAGACTTGGAATGTGATTGGCCACTATTCACCTCCTGTAAAAGGTACAAAATGAGATGCAAAATCATGCTGTAGTTGTTAAGAGGCTGAAATTCAGAAACCCTACAAAAATCATAAAAGAAGTGATATTTGAGCTAGGACAACATGACTTCAAAGAAAAGAAGATTTTATTGTTTAGCATGTCAATATCATGCGGTCATTTTCTGTCTTTTGGCAATACTAGTCCAGGGGTTAATTTCATATTTTGCCGACTTGAACTGTATTTTCTCGGTATTCAGACCTTTCCGCTTTGACAAAGGTCTAGTTTACTTATCGACTTCACAGAGCACCATGTATCCTAAATAAATCCAGTAAAAGAGGGTCTCTCCAGCAAAAACTCTACACTTCATTTTTGTAGGTCTGTTGAAGCTTGTTACAAGATATCTACCAGTGCTTTGCTTATTCCTCCATAATTAGACTGTTTCGCACCAAATTGACTCAGTCAACAGAACAAAGTATACAAGGCAGCCCTAGTACCATGCTTGCAACAATGCAAATACAAACTGCAACAGTATGGTAGATGGACACAGCCTCATACCCACCTGTTCATCCTTATTTGAAGGTGACTTTTGCGATTTTTTTAAACCGACCAAGCCTCTGATCCATTTCCCAGAGACACCCATTCTGCCTGTTGGATCGTGTCAGTCAATAGAACCAGCCAGGAAAGATGGTTGTGACCATTGCTACCACATTTTTGCACCTCATAGTAGAAACAAAGGGAGGAAGGATTTAAAAAAAAGAAAATGTATCCAAGAAAGTTGTTATTTCTTGAACTACACCCAAGCTGCTACCAGTTTCAGGCCATGAGCATTTCACAGCGATCATGAGCTGACTTACAAGTCTAAGCTGGCATTACCTCTTAAGGCAAATCCACTGTCCTTTCCTGGAAGTTAAATTACAGTAACTTCAGTTTTGCAATCAGCAGTCACTCATTAACGGAACCCTAGCAAAAACTCCCGACCTGAAGTAGCAACATAGAAAAATTATCATGGCTTCACAGATCGAATGTCATCTCAACAATGTCCATTTCTAATATAGCTCTACCACGAGCGAAAAGATAAACTGGTCCCTTGGGCAAGCCTCATCCGATGAAAACAGGGATAGGCTGCGTCTGCATAAACTGCAGAGCACACATCCAATTGCTCGATCCAAGTAATGCTAAGAAAATACTTGCAGAGGAGGACGTGAACAGCACGCGCTACGAAATCAACAGTCACTGTAGGACTATCAGAGCCATCAAAACGATCAAATGCAATGTGCGAACAGTAGAAAGGCGACAAATCGATTACGAACTGCACCACAGCAAATAAAAATGTTGCACAGACTGCAGCACAGCCAGAGCGTCCTCACAGTCCTCATACATGTACATAAGACCACAAGGAATCGATCGATACGAGGAGAAAGCTCCACTCCATGAACAAAACGAGGTCATTATCAAGCCATCAAGAAGCAGCTAGCCACCACATGCAAGTAAGACCGAAAAAAACCCACGATTCATCAGTCGCGACCGAAACAACAAAACTCTCTCTCGCTCTCTGTGTGAAGCAAGCTGATTCCTAACAACTCAACACAAAATGCCACTCGGAGAACGAGTACTGAAAGGAAAATAAGACATCAAAAGCACAGAGAGCTCACGGAGCTCAATTCTCCTGAATCAAAGCCCCCGATGACCAGCAACGAGCACAAGAGCGCATCGGCGATACCCTTCTTCCTCCGTCTTCTCAGTCGATTACGAAGCGAAGGAATCGCTCTCTCTCTCTCTCTGGGGAAAGGTTTGTCGAACCCAGTAAAAAAAAGAACCAATTTTCAAGGCGACATCGGGGTGTCTCTCTCTCTGGGTATTATGTAAGAAGGTGGTGGTGATGAAGCTGAAGGATGAGCGAGGACAAAGGACAAGAAGCCGATGATGAAAAATGGGAAGTAGCGTCGGCGATGTGGACTTGCTGTCGGGTGGACATGCAACAAAACAACAAAACGAGTCAATTTCCGGTTGTATGATTAAAGATTCCTTCCTAGGCATCGGATGCTCTCTTTTGTCTAAATTAGCAAAATCTCATCCATCATCCCCGCCCTAAAAGAGAAAAGGAATCACTTGGACTACAAAATGAAATATGGAGTCATAAAAAACATTATTTTTCAGTACTGTAAAAGTGAACGATTTCCTTGTGTTTTAATATTATAGAAACGGTGAATAGCAAATCGCATATGACTCCATATTTCATTTTGGGTCTTGGCGTTTCGAAGCCTCTTATCAAACGCTAGAGCCCTTCATTATCTGCTATAACCTGCGTAACACACCCAGCACTATACCCTCGCATGTGTTTTACCATCATCTGATTCTAAAATAAAATAAAAAAAATTAAGGGGAAAAAAAGAGAGAAGAGAAGATACAGCTAGAGATGATAGGCATGAATTTACACAGCCAACGAAATAGTATCAACGAATGGCTTCAAGAATTAACCGATTGGAGTATCTATCTTCTTCTGGAGATACCGAAACAATCTTGCAGCCGACAAGACGGGCTTTTCCCTTGATTTAATACATAGTCTGGCTACGTCCAGGAGATTTCTTAGCTCCCTTGAATCATAGTCATTTCCAAGATCTGGGTCTATCAGCTTATAGATGGAGCTACCCAAATGATATTCTTGAACCCACTGGATCAGATCGGCGCCTTCCTTTTCTGACGATTGCCCAGTGATGAGCTCCAGGATCAGCACGCCGAGCTGGAAAATAATGTTTCTGCATTCTGCCTCGATACAATCTGCAACGAGAATGAGGGATTCCAAAATATCAATCGAAGGGAATAGGATGCACATTCATATCATTGTGAAGACAACGTATAAGGTGATGACAAATCACCTTTTGGATCAGCAGGTCCTGTGTGATTCCCAGAAGAACCAAGAAAACCAACATCGGATAGCTGAGATAATCAAGGAAAATGTCATTTTTGCTATTGACTACATGGTAACAGTGTATGAACTTGATTGAATTCCAAGAACTTGTGAATTAAGATTGACTTTAGTCCAATTCAGAAAAAGCCAAAAAGATGCTAGACTAATGCTATGACAGACATGAAACATATCCCTACCTTGGCAATGAAGTTCTCATCCAACATGATACTGCTTGAGTTGACAGATACATGATATACTGGGGGTTCATTGAAGATAAGCAAATATTCCTGCAGGCAGATCGAGACCTTGTCAACTTGAAGTCAGACTTTCTGCAAATAACAAACAACTATATTGTGCACTCGTAAGATAAAGCTAGTTTCCTCCCAGCAAATTCAGCATGACAAAAGGGTTGGCCTGATACATATTGTAGTGCTAAGAATTGTAAATCATTTCATTCAACAGATAAAACATCCAGACCAAAAGCTTGATAATGTCAATATGTCATCCAGGATCATGAAACTTTTACGAAGGGCAAATTCTACACATGGTCGATGTCTCAGGTCATCTAGTAACTAGCTCTCCAGCAAGAGTCATGTAAAGTTTTTGATCATGTCTACCATAGACCATTCCAGATTGGAGGGTACACTAATTGAGCAGTTCCATATTTTAGGAAAGCCTCCCAATTTGATTTGTATCTGTTCCCACATAAGAAATGAAAATTAAAGCTGCTGACAGTTACAATAATTCCATGACTTACCAATGCAGCTGCTACACCATTGGCTATCTGTAGTCTCGTTCTCCAATTCAAAGGAGTCCTAAGAGGATCTGCTAAGAGCACCCTTCTTTAGACCAAATTTTATCAAGCCAATACATAGAAAATGTTTTAACTGACAATTACCATTGAGATGGTCCTTCAAGCTTCCGTTCTCAACATTGTCAAACACTAACAAACTGCAAGGTGTAGAACCATTTGTCATCCATTTGTGAGAAATCCAGTTAAACAGAAAGGTTTCAATTTCTCATTCAGTAGAAGATAAGCCATTTCGAAGAAAAGATATTGTTTTTTCCAAATCACAGGAAAAGAGATTTTTCTCAATTAAGGTACATTGGATGAACAAGAAAGATCACCACCAGGAGAGAAATTTAAAAAGCAGTTGCCCACATGCAAAGACAAAATCTTGTAACGAAATACAACACAGAGATTTTCAAACTTCGCCTAAATGAGGGCCATACCATTTTTTCTCCATAGAGAACCCTCTAAGTGCAAGGAGGTGGCGGTGATGCAAACGGCCTAAGAGCTGCACTTCTCTGTAGAAGACTTCTTTACTCTGATCAAATTCCTTAACCTCTTTCACCAAAGCAAGCCCAGCATCATCGAAGTTGGCTCTGTAAGCAGCCCCATGAGTATCGCTATAGATGATCCTGCAAAAACTGTTCGTTGCCTTCTTTATGTCCTTATATGAGAAGTGCCTCACAAAAGAAACTGGACCTGTAAGTGTAAGATGGCAATGACAAGAGTGCACAAAGATAGTAAGAAAGACTTCTCCAAGCAAACTTCAAGTGAAGAAGCTCGAACCAGTAGTCATTTCAACGAAACCATCATCACACAATATAGGTCGAAAAAGTTCCGTAGGTAACACGCGGCAGCTCCATTTGACCTTTCTGGAAGAGATCAAGATTAAGTAATCGAAAGCTGACATTTTACGATAGACAATCATCGTAACAGACACGTAGCGAACTAAAAAACAGCTTGCATCGTCACGACATTACGACATTCAGATCCGTACTGTAACTCTACATCATAAACCTTCACTGCTTTTCGAACTCAATCCTTGCTTCCAATTTTCTCATCGAGCCACCCAAATTCCCGCACGAATAAGTTCTCAACTCTTCCATCGCGCAAAACGGAAGAGAGATTGGCGATTTCACGCTCATACTAATCAATCACGCACGAACTCACGAATCACAGCAAACGGAGCGAATTATCCAGGATCAGGCACGCAACGCACTTCGAACACGAGAACTTTCAGAAAGCAGATCCATCATGAGCCATCCCTTCCGCTCGAATCGCTCACCACACGCAGAACTCCAACGCGAGAACCACGGATTGCTCTCGAATCGAAACGTCACGCAACAAAATCAAGCGCGACGAGCTCCTCAGTTCCGGATCACAGAGCACACACCGACACAGAGAGAGAGACAGAGACTGAGACAGAGAGAGCAGCGCAACCGACCTGGAGGAGGAGGAGCGGGACGGAAGCAGCCGTGGATCTTACGGATCAAGCGATCCGTACCGGCCGCGGCCGCCATGGATCCTCTGCGAATTCTCGCTTCCGGGGGAAGAAGACGGGAGAGCGCAAAAGCTGGAACGACAGTAGTACAAGTGGCAGCGAAGCTTCTTCTCTCATTGCGTCGCCTCTTCGGTTTCGCTTTAATCAAAACGGCATTGTCGTCTCGCCTACTCTCTTTTTCACCTCCTCTCGCTGTCGTGCGCGGCTGCGAGAGCCAGCGATCGAGCGCGAGCCGGCGAGCGAGAGTGCGAGTTCGGTAAAAAGTACGCGCCTCCCATATTTTTACCCGGGTTCTCGTTTGGTTAAAAACGATAAGAACACTCCCGAGTTTTTTTTAGTAAAAAACTGACTAAACAAATGGATTCCTACGTGGGGTGAGCATGGAATCCCGGAACCTGCAACCGGACAGGTTTCTACAGGTCCGGTTCTCGATTCTCAAAGATTGAGGATCCTGTTTCGAAGATTAGTCTCTAAATTTTAGTAGGTAGGTGAAATCTAAAATCTGGAACTTGTGCTTTTTTTTTTATCTATGTCTTTGCGTGGTCCTACGATATTCCATCGTATTTAATAATAAGTGTATAATATGAAACTACTAGTCTGAACTTCCATTTTATGACTGAGATTTTTACTTTGTTGATGTTTTATATTTTCGTGTATAAATATAAGCTGTTGTCAGTAAATTGTAGTAGCAATTGATTGTCATAAAATGTCACTACAAAAAAACATGAATTTTGCGACGGAAATTTACGACGGGGAATTTTTCGTCGCTAATTTGCGACGAAATTAGCGACGGAAAATAATCCGTCGCAAATTTGCAACAAACTTTGCGACGGAAAATAATTGGATTATTTTCCGTCGCTAATTTCGTCGCAAATTTGCGATGGAATTATTTTCCGTGGCAAAATTTGTCGCAAATTTGCGACGGAAAGTTGGTCGTGGCTAATTCCGTCGCAAATTTGCGACGACTTTTGCGACGGATTTATTTTCCGTCGCTAATTTGTGCAACGAAATTTACCCTTTTGCGACGAAAGTAGCGACGAATATTTTATCTGTCGCAAATTGCGACGAAAACGGATTCGTCGCTAATTTGTGACGGAAAATTACTTTCGTCATATGCACCCCACCCGTCAATTTCTCTCTCTCAGTACTGATTCCTCACGTCGCCCGCTTTTCTCCCGCCTTCTCCCTCTTTCGTTTCTCTCAATAATCCGTGCACGCAGAAATCAATCTCGGTAAAGCTTTTCCACCGGTAAGTATCGTAGCTAATTTCATGACTAAACATGCGATTAATACGGTCCTGTCTTTTCTATTTATCGCTGGATGCGAATTTTTTTTATTGACTTTTTTTTTCTTTTTTTGTTGTAACTTGGTGGCCAGTCGCCGGTCCGGCGACCGGCCACCGGCGAGACCTCGCTGGCCATAGGGGGAGGCCGAACGGCCTCGCCGGCCATAGGGGGAGGCCGAGTGGCCTCGCCCCATGGCCGGCGAGGCCGCGCCGCCGGTCGACCTGGGCGACGGCGAGGTCGACCGGCGGCCATGGCGAGACCGACCACTAGGCGACGGTGAGGCTGCTCGGCCTCCCCCTATGGCGGTCGATCTCGCCGTCGCCCAGATCTGGGGGAGGTCGACCGGCCTCGCCCCATGGCCGGCGAGGCAGCGCCGCCGGTCGACCTGGGCGACGGCGAGGTCGACCGGCGGCCATGGCGAGGCCGACCACTAGGCGACGGTGAGGTCGACCAACGGCCATGGCGTCAACCAGTCGGCCTCGCCGGCGTTAGCTGGTCGCCGGACTGGCGATCGGAGAAAAATATAAGAAGAAAAAAAAATTAAAAAAATTTCGAAAAAAAAATAAAAAAATTATTTAAAAATGAATGTTAAGTGATTTTGCTTTTATTTAGATACGTGTCCAATTGAAAGTCTCGCAATCCAAGTGAACGTTGCAATTCTCTTCAAATTGACCACTTTCTGCTACCAAGATTTCAGTCAAATATTTGGGTAAGTCTTCTTTACATGGTAATTTTTTCAATTTCAAAGTAATTGTTGCGTGAAAAACAAAATTTTAATTTTCATAATTTTATGGTTTTAATTAAGAACAGTAGATATGATATTTTAAATATTTTACGAGATTTTTTTATTTTAATACAAACACAATGCAAAGAGACAGGGCTTGGATGTATAATAAGAACTTACCTGGACGTCGAGGATTGACCGATGAGTTTCGTACTGGGTTGGAACTATTTTTAGACTTTGTTAGTACTAAATATGAGTTCATGGATGGAAATAAGTTAAGGTGTCCGTGTAAAAAGTGCAGTAATGGTAAATTTAATGTGTGTGATAAAGTTAGAGAACATCTTTGTAGATTTGGGTTTACTCCGAATTATTATAATTAGACTTGTCATGGTGAACCATTTATATTTGATGAAGGATATCGAAGAAGTGACCAATTTTTAGTTAGGGAATAATGTAGCTATTATGACCAATTGAACCCATACGAGATAATGGTGATTGACGCAGCTGGTCAGAATTTTGTTTCAGAATTGAACCATGCAAGTACTAGTTTTACTCCTACACTTGAACAAGTGGGTACTAGTCATGCATCACAATTGGAAGAGATAGGAGTAACGAGTTTTGATGAGAATGTGTGTAATGGAGCTTTTTCATCTAATCAATTCTGGGAAGTGATGAAAGCAGCAGATGAACCTTTATGGGCAGGTTATGATAACCACACTAAGTTATCAGTGACAACAAGACTGTTATATATCAAGGCAGAGCATAATGTGTCTGCGGATTGCTCCAACTCTTTTGTTGAAATAATGCGGGAAACAATGCTGCGGGAAACAATGCCTCGTGATAATATCATGCCAAGTGATTTTTACGATATGAAAAAGTTAGTAGATAACTTAGGTCTTCCGGTTGTAAGGATTGATGTATGTAGTAGGGGTTGCATGTTATATTGGAGAGATGATGAAAATGCAGAATCTTGCAAATTCTGTAGCCAACCCAGGTACAAGATTAACAGGAGGCCGAGACGTAATCAGAAGCGTAGACCATGCAAGCAAATATTTATCTGCCCTTAATCCCCAGATTGCAAAAGCTTTATGCGTCTCAAGCCACTGCTGAATACATAACTTGGCATGCAAATCATGAAACAGAAGAGGGTCTAATATGTCATCCTTCAGATGCAGAGGCATGGAAACATTTTGATAGAACTTACCTGAGTTTGCGATAGAGCCTCGAAACATCAGGTTAGGTCTCTGTGCCGATGGATTTGCCCCATTTGGGAAATCAGGAAAAAGTTATTCATGTTGGCAAGTTATCTTAACGCCGTACAATCTTCCACCTGGTATGTGTACGAAGACACCTTATATTTTTTTGACATTGATCGTGACTGGCCCGCAAAATCCGAAAAAGTTAATAGATGTTTATATGCAACCATTGATTGAAGAGTTACAACGGCTATGGGAGGAAGGTGTCCTTACATATGATGTTTCTACCGATCAAACATTTGTAATAAAGGCTGCTCTTCTTTGGACGATAAATGACTTTCCAGTTTACAGAATGTTATCTGGATGGAGTACAGCTGGGATCTTAGGATGTCCGATATGTTTGGAGAGATCAAAGTCATTTAGATTAAAACATGGAAAGAAGCCCAACTATTTTGACTGTCACTAACAATTTTTACCGATAAATCATATATTCAGAAGGAATAAAAAAGAATTCATCAAGAATAGGACTGAAAGAACACGTCCACTATTGAGGTTAACCAGCGAGCAAATTTGGGAGCGGGTGCAGGACTTTCCAACTGTTATTCAGAACCCTCACGGTACGACTTTTGTGTATGGAAGTACACATAAGTGGACAAAACGCAGTATATTTCGGGATCTACCGTATTGGAAGGCCCATCTTATTCATCATAATCTTGATGTCATGCACATAGAAAAGAATATTTTCGACAATATCATAAATACTGTCATGGATGTCACCGGAAAAACAAAAGACAACTTGAACGTAAGAAAAGATATGAGAGATATTTGTGATCGGCCAACACTAGATGTGGATGCAAGCAGCAGGGGACCAAAACCAAAAGCAGTTTATACATTGGATAAGGAGCATAGGCGAGTTGTTGGTCAATGGTTGAAATCTGTGCGGTTTACTGATGGATATGCTTCGAACCTCGGGAGATGTGTTGATTTGAATGAATGCAAGTTGACAGGTTTGAAGAGTCATAATTGTCACATATTGATGGAAAGACTAATTCTAATAGCTTTCAAGGAAGTTCTACCGAACTTTGTATGGGGCGCCATTACAGAGTTAAGTAATTTCCTGTATGATATTTGCTCGACAGTGTTAAAAGCATCACATATGGAGAAACTGGAGAGAGATATTCCAATTATTCTTTGCAACTTAGAAAGGATATTTCCTCCATCGTTTTTTGATTCGATGGAGTATCTTTTAGTTCACTTGCCTTATGAGGCCAAAGTTGCAAGTCCCGTCCAATTTCGATGGATGTATCCATTTGAGAGGTAATTTTTTTTAAATAAAGTTAAAATTACTTTATTATATATTATGTTCCGATAAGCTTCTTTCTATTGCAACTAGATTCTTATATCATTTAAAGAAAAAAGTGAAGAATAAGGTATGTGTTGAAGCTTCAATTTGTAATGCATATATTATGGAAGAAGTGACAACATTTGCGTCATACTATTTTGAGCCGCACGTGCAGTGCAAGAGGCGGAGAGCAGGCAGAAATGATGAGGGCCCCAGTGATCCCAATTGCAAAGCATTCTCTATTTTCAATTATCTGGGTTGACCAAGCGGCGCATGTCAGTTTCGTTACTTAATAGGCGAAGAATTGCATGCAGCCGATACATATATTTTACTGAACTGCCCAGAAGTTGAGCCATACTTCGTGTAAGTGTAAATTTACAAATATATGTATTGTGTGTCAAATATTTGCTAATATATAAATGGTATTTATTACTAGGATTTTCCAAACTTCAATGTATGGACTACCACCAAATGAGTTTGACCGTTTGTGCGATGAACAATTTGCAGCAAGGTTCAAAACATATGTAAGTTGCCTATGGACCAAAACCAAGTTATTTAAATTTTATACATCATTTATTAAAATATATATTATTGACCTTGCGTGTGTAACCTTAGGTTCACAGTAATCATGATGAACTTGGAAAGCAAGGATTGCTATATCATCTGTCATGGGATCCACAGTTAAGAGTACGGAGTTGGTCAGAATATTTCATAAATG